TTGAGCGGCCATGACAATTGTTGGAGTGGACTTAAGATGGGTGGTAGGCGGAGATGTTGGCTCCAACCGTTGCTGGGAGTGGGCGGAGCAAGGATGAACGACTTCTCTTCCTTCTTCTCTTGGTCTCCTTCCTAGTGTTGGGTGGACCTTGGGGTCCGATGTGTGAATAATAGAGAGAAATAAAAAAATGTGGGACCCTCTATCTTGGTTTGTGTGCCAATAATTGAAAGTGAAAGCCTGTACATGTGATGACTTGTATCTGTATGGATGTGAATGTTTTGTTAATTGTAAGTGAAAGTTGTTAACATGTGAAAGCAGATGTACGCATGTGAAATCATCACAATTTGATCAACAATTGTACCTATATATAGGCTTCAGTCTGAAGAAGGAAGAAAAAAAAAACAGAAGAGAAAAAGAGAGGAAATAAAAAGAAAGAGAAAGGAAGAAAGATAGATTTATGTCCAAATATCGGATATAAAAATATCAAAAGAGAAGAAACGAGTGATATTTTTATTTGTTTTAAGATATTTCTTTTATTTTTAAGTGCTCAATTCTCGACTCCGTTCCCGTTCGCCGGAGCTCGTAAATCTGGTGTGCTACAGATTTAGAGACGTTTGCCGTTGTATCTTTGGGGAAGTTACGCCTTAACCGTTAGCAGCCACACGGGGCGTATTCTTCTTGCGGAAAGAGTTTTACTCGCCTCGGCTAAAATCTTTCTGTTTTTCAGTTGTAATTTATTTTTCAGTTCAATTGTAATTTTCTATTTTTAGATTATTTGTAAGAACTGAAAATACATATCAGTTCGTAGGATTCCCGTGTAATTTTACACCAAATATCCAACACGATGGTATCGGGGCGTGAACTCGATCGGTAGGACCTTGTCGGGGTTGTCGTTCGCGGTGTTGGGAGAGGTTGGTCGTGGGTTGCATTGGTGTTCTGATAAGGAGAGAGCTTGGTCCGCTGTGGGCCCGATTTAGTTAGTCGTATCTTTACTGGAGTTTCTAGATCGGGTATGGGCTTGGTGTCTCTTTGTGTAGTCGCCTTCGGGTGTTCGGTTGACGGGTGGAGGCTCAGAGTTCTTTTATGGCGGATGGGGAAGACTTTAGTCTATTTGCTAGATGTGCGTTGTTTTGGGTTGTGTTTGTAGGTTGTTTTTCGATGTCGTGTTGGTATCTTTTTTTCCTTGTTGGGTGTAGTTATTCTCCACCTGTGTGAGTTAGGATTCTAGTGTTTTCTAGTTTTTAGCTTTGCATGTGGGGGTAGTGTAGAAAATTTAGGCTACAGTCGTGTTCGACGAGTACGCTTCTCTTTCATTCCAGTTGTATAGTTGTTTTCATGTTGTAATTATGTGTCCAGTTATTTATAAAATTCTCTATCATTTTCAAAAAAAAAAAAAATAAAAAATAAATAAAATAACAAAAGAGTTGCCTATCAAATTTGAGTTCTTTAATAAAGTTAACCAGTCAAAGAGCCTAACTTGTAATTGGCGAATTCGTTCGACATTCACTGTGTGTTTAGTTTAAACTTTTACTTTAGTTGAAACCTCAATAAACAACTGGAAAAAAATCTTACAATCATTGGACAAACTAGCCCATACAACTAACCAATAAATAAATATAAAAGCATAGAAGAAACCACTTTAAAAAAAGTGACCTAGACACCAAACATTAAACACAACAACTCGACAAACTAAAGGCAAACACTATCATTTGATTCCTTTAGTCTACAAGCCAACAACACAAATTCACACAAACAACTAGAAAGTCCAACACACAAAGTTGCAAGGGAAAAGGAGACCACTTAACAACAAAGAACTTAGATTCCAATTCCCCTGCACATTTGCAACCACCTGCAATACAGTGTATCAAATCGAGTCCACTCTCTCAAAGCAGTTGTACAATGTCTTTGTCACTCAACCACTTATTCTGAGGAACCCACATATTGTGGGCTTTTCAAAGCCACCAAAAACTGTAAGATAAAAGCTGGATTCAAGCTTCAGATTAGTCTAAGTTGTCAG